CCGCGCGCCGCTACTCGGGCCGCGCCACCTGCGACTGCCCCAACTGCCAGGAGGCTGAGCGGCTTGGCCCCGCTGGGGCGAGCCTGCGGCGCAAGGGGCTACACAGCTGCCACATCCCGGGCTGCGGCAAGGTGTACGGCAAGACGTCGCACCTGAAGGCGCACCTGCGCTGGCACACGGGCGAGCGGCCGTTCGTGTGCAACTGGCTGTTCTGCGGCAAGCGCTTCACGCGCTCTGACGAGCTGCAGCGGCACCTGCGGACCCACACGGGCGAGAAGCGCTTCGCCTGCCCGGTGTGCAACAAGCGCTTTATGCGCAGCGACCACCTGAGCAAGCACGTGAAGACGCACAGTGGCGGCGGCGGCTCGGCCGGGTCCAGCGGCGGCAAGAAGGGCAGCGACACCGACAGCGAGCACAGTGCTGCGGGCAGCCCGTCTTGCCACTCCCCTGAGCTGCTGCAGACCCCGGAACCCGGCCACCGCAATGGCCTGGAGTGACTGTCGCTCAGCCTCCCACCTGGCCCAGTCGGGCTTGTACGCCTGGCCCGGGCTTCAGTGTTGGCTCACCGTCCCGCTCTCCCTCCCCAACTCCCCGTTCCCCCTTTCTCCGGCTTCCCTCTCCCGATTTTATGAAAGGGATGTGGACAGTAAGTAAGCACGCATCTGCGGCTGGAGCCCTGGCTCCCTTCTGAAAGGTGAAAACGAGGCCTGGCGCAGTGGGAACCCGCTCCTCCAGCTCCCGACCGGCGGAACTACGAGGGGGCAGAAACCTCTGGAGTTGAAATGGGGTGAACCGGGTATCTGATAGACCCGCCCTCGGCCTCTGCGACCGTGGAAAGCGCAAAGCTCAACCGGCTTGAGCTGAAGCTGCGAGGAGGGAGAAGCTGAAGGTCGGGCAAGGCGCCCTGCCCGGACCCCTGAGCGCGCCCTTGTGCCGCTGTCCCACGTAGAGCACTGCCCTGCACGCAGGCCTGCTGCTGCACCCTGACTGGGTTAGCAGAATTTAGCTCTCCCCACTCAGCTCTGCCTAGCTGCTCTTTTGTGCCCTGCGGGTGAACCGCTGCGACTTGTGCGAAGGGAAATCAATGCCACAACCGGTTTTCATCTCTGTGACCTTTTTTTTTTTTAACTGAAAAACTGAGAGGAAAAATAAATAAACAAGCAACCTTCCTCTTAGCTTCCCGTTTAAATAATTTTTCTCTGCCCGTGAGCACGTCTTTACAAATTGCTATTATCGGTCCCAAAGTTATTTTGATGGCAGTAACTTATGGGGTGGGGGTGGGAGTGAGGGTAGGTGTCTTTTTCTTATGCAAAAACACCCCCTTTCCGGTGAGAGCAGATTAACCACCTTCGTGTTTGTCCCTTTCTACCTCGTTTTTTCACCATTCCCGAGCATCTTCTCCCAATCTTTTTTTCCTCCCCCTTTGGGTTAGTCCAACAGTAAATTTATCTGCTCATTTCTGTAAATTATTGCAAGTTGTTTACTATTTTAGGATTAATTTTTTTTTGTGGTTTAAACTCAAACGAAAAAGTTACCGTTTATTTCAGATGAGGCTGCAGTTTAAATGCCAAAATAGGGAAACAGGAATAAAATTAAAATTCTTTGTAAAATATATCTAAACCTAATGGTTTGTACAACTGGAAAGTCGTTCTAGGTTAGTTTCCCATTAGACATGACTCTGCCGCTGTGAGGTGTGAGGCGCATTGTCCAGGAGACGATTTTGTATAGTATTTTTCTTGTACATTACTTCCGGTAAATATTTGAAAATATATTGAAGTAAACTTGATTTTTTTTTCTTTTTTGTCAGAAGAAAATATTAAGAGTTATTACTGAGGTTCTGATGAGCTGCAGGTTTTTTTGAACTCAATTCTGGAGGTGCAGAGCCACACACGCACTTTCCTGGCCTAGTTTTGCTCGAATATGAATTTAGATAGGTATCAAGCTGTAACTAAGACACTGTTTGATAAATGTTGGATGACATTTAATTTAATGGAGCATGTACTTATTTGCATTTGCTGGCAGTCCAGGCGTAGTTAAAGTGAGAGTTCTTCTATACTTCATAATAACGGGGTCTGGCAAACCCATGTATTAAATAAATTGTCCAAGTGATACTCGACTAACTTTGGCCTTTGTGTATTTCCTGAAGGTGATACTGTTAACTGTTGACAAACACTCCTGACACTACATTTAAGTGTTGTTTGCAGAGTCTGCAAACTAACTATTCATTGTAATGTTGAAATAATTTGGATATTTCACATTGAAATGAAAAACCTTTCTCTGGAACATTTTAGACTTGCATTTTAAATGCATGAAATGTAATTGATTTATTTGTAATATTTTAAATGGTATTAATAAACTCAGATAAAAGACTAGGTCAGTTAATTTGTTTTTTTTTCCTTTTTAAAACTATGGGCATTTGCATTTTATCTTTAGTTTTAATGTCTAATTTAAACAAAATATGACCCTGTTTTTTTGCTAATATTTAAATATTTGCCTTTAAGATATTATGTAGATGGAAGGTCTATTTGGCAAAGCTGTGTTTTCTTTGTTTACCAAGATAAAGATTATAGTGTCTAAGATATGTAATTAATTATTTACCATTAGATTTAGCTCATAGCATCAGGATTTGTTGATCTCTTAGAACTTGTAGTAATTTACCAAACAATTCAAAGAAATTTCATGTTGCTGCTTCCTTCTCAGGCTTCAGGAGGCCTCAGGTTGTTGGCCTTTGATTGCATTTAGTATTTAAAAGGCCAAGACTTAACATGAAAGATCAATACATCTAAAATAAAAGCATCATTTGGAGATCACTTCTGTTGTTAAGAGGCAGAGGAGGTCAAGCTATCAAAAGCTTGTTTTTTGGCATTCTGTCATAGCTAAAGAGTCTGCAGAGGTAAATATTAGTAGATTCCTGTTGAAATGAGTTATCTGTTCTTTAAAAGTCTCTAAACAGTCACCAAAGAAAAGGAAGGTTAAACCTTAATCTATCTACGAGGCTATTGTTCAAAGGTGTCAATGATGCCAATAAAAAGCATTGTCTTGTTATGTCTAAGTGCATTTAAGCAATGAGTGTTCCTTGAGCCATACTTTGAAACATAATATACTTTAAATGTTGATTGATGTTATATCAAACTATTTCACTATTAGATTAATATTATTTTGAATCAAACTGAATAAAAAGTTAGTGTGTTGAGATTCTGCTAAGTTTAGCTTCTTTCTTTCTGTTCACATACTCCTCACACTCAGTCCAGTCTTGGTATTCATTTTGAATTGAAAAAATTTTCATAGAAATTTATGTTAAGTTATAATACATAGAAAGAAGTGTAGTTCAATATGCTGTATAATAATCCTTGTTGGTGTCCAGTCAACAGTCTTCATCCAGCTGCCCACTCCTCTCACACTCAAGTCCTTGTGGTCGGAGATAGACAAGTTAGTTTGATATTTTGGGATAGTGTGGCTCTAAGAAATGTTTACTAAGGAAAATAAAATAGTTTCTGTCACCTTTTTCCTAGGAGTAATGCAGAACACAGTTTAAGTGTTTCTTTTTTGTTGAAACTTGCAGTAGCTGAGGGATGCCGGAGAGGCCACTCTACAGTTAATGTAAAGGCAGGTAAGAGGCCAGCTGCTTGGCCCATTCATAGGAATGAATATTTGATTGGAGAGGTGGATTGTCTGAGAAATGATTTCTTTGGGGTGCAGGAAGCAGGGCTTACTTTTGTCTTGTAGGTGTTCAAACTTTCACTTGCTTTGGCTTCCCTCGGTCTAGTTTGAATTTAGTTTTGTTTTATTTTCTTTTTTTAATCTGTGCAGAGCAGTATTTCTAACTTAGTCTCACAGAATGAGGAGAGTCCTCTTTGGGGGCTGAACAACATGTGTCTTTGGGGAGGAAGGAAGATGACACACAAAAGGGGTTCTCTTCTGTGTCGCCGATAATGGCTAGAAACTCACTGCCATGAAGCCAGCGAGGCTGTCACTTTGAACCAAAGGACAAGCTTCCGGGCCTGCAGATCAAGGTAGAGTCAAAGTAGCTGTTGACCCAGAGGTCAGCCCTGCATGTGTCAGCCCGTCCTCCAGAGACTCAGAAGGCTCTGCCCCCTCCTCAAGGACTGGTGCTATTCAGCCCTCCTGGTTCTTCCCTCAAGCCTTCTCCAAGGTTGAGTCTGAACTTCCCCATCTTGCCTGCTTTTTCCCTGGCTTCTTTATACACCTTTCTCTTAGGATGAGCTTGTTCACTTAGGTACCTGACTGATTAGGTGGAGCTGGACTGTCACCTAAGATATGTTATGCAGGACGCCTAATTTAAACCAATGTGGTAGTTGGTCTTCCACAGGAGTGAGACTGGAGGAAATTGTGCCTGGGCAGACTTGTCTCTCCACTGCCCTGTTCCCCTCGTCTTGGCATAACTTCTCCAGGGCTTTTTGGATAGGGAACCTAAAGCTAAGCCCAGAAGCAGGCAATGAACAGACTCCTGCGTCTTAAGTATTTCAGTCTACAATTTTTGTCTCCCCATGGATCAGTCAGGTTATTGGATGAAAAAGATTTATTGAAAAATGAATGTTTTATTTGTTAGAGAAGATTACCTCACAAATCAGAGATAGGGGTGGGGCGCTGGTAATTAAAGCAAAAACATTTGGGGGGAGAAAGTGTAGATTTAAATATATCCAGACTGCCTGAGATAGATAGTAGAGACAAATACTCATTTGTTTTTCATATAAATGAGGCACTGATTTGATCCCAGTATTTTTGAATAAAGTGTGGTTTTAAATTTTTCTGCCTTAAAAAAATGTTGCAGGCATTTCTATTTCATTTCTATCGCCCCCCATCACTAAAGTAACTACATATCCGAATTCTCTATCTCCCTTCTGCCCCCGTCACGCCTCTCTTTCAAAATAGCTTTAAAGTTTTACGACTGACTTTCGAGAAGAGATGTTGTGTAAGGGGGTAATGGAGTACTCTGCGGATTCATGCCGTAGTTCTCCGAGGCCCTCTTCCAAAGGCTCCGCTCAGCACAATGGTTGCTGTTATTTAAAAAACTAAGATGCAGAATTTGCTTGCGCCTTTATTTCCTGCTTCCGGATTAGGGGAAAACCAGTAATCCCTGGGTGTCCTGGACCTCAGCCCCCTGGTTCCAGGGGAAGACCGAGAGGCCACCCCGTAGACTCTCTGGGAACTGAACTTTGATTCGCTGCTTCAGGGGGAGGGAAGAAGTCTATTTTATTTTAGTCCCTGGACGCGTGTTTAATTTAATTTAATTTTCTATGGGGTCTCTTGGCAGAGGGAAGCAGCCTTCTACGTTAGTTTTGGTTCCTAAGGAGAGTTGAGACTCTCCTAGAACCCTGGGGACAGCGAAGGGGGCTCGAATCACCTAGCCCTGGACATGATGCGTTCGTTACAAACGCGTCTCCTAACGTTAGTTTTAAAGCTCGAATGCTTGGGTTCTTGTTTGAAGTTCACTTGTCAGTCTGGCTGCTCAGGCCGTAAATTCTACTGAAGGCTAACTGGAAGTGAGTGTGACCTACGCTTTGCTGAGGTCCCTCCGTGTTCCTGGGGTTCTCTGGAAACAGCCGTGGGAGCCGGGGAGGAGTTCCCAGCCCTTCCCTCCGCCACCCAAGGCTCAGCTTGGCCTCTTCCCTACGCAGGCCGCTGTTCGGAAGATACCTAGCCGCCCGGGGAAGGCTCCCGACTGCCAAGCTGCACCTGTGCCGACTGCTTCGGCGTAGCAGTGGAGGCCTAGGGTGTCAGCGGCAGTTCTGCCGGGAACCCTCTGGGATCCCGCCGCACACAAAGGCTCCGCGGCCGTCCGAGCTTTCTGCGCGGATAGCGAGCGCCACCCTGTGCCCCGAGGCCGCTCTGCAGAGCCCGGGGCCTAAGGCCCCAGCAGCACCTCACTCCCCACCCAAAAATCACACTGACACTACGTCTAGCTCAATGCGAAAACGTGCTGCGCTTTTTTGGTTTTAGGAATCAGTCTAGCGTCTAGGAGAGAAGAGATTTGGTGGGAAGGTACAGACTCATAGGACCTTGAGAAACTTTTCTTAAAGCGTTGTACCTAAAACTCAATCATCTTTATTTCTTGCTTTTTCTCTGCTCACTCCCTTCCAATCTTTGGGCCTCGAGGTGCTGGGGTGGGGGTGGGGTGCTAGCAATCAATCTTCTTCAGGCCATATCTTGGTGA